GCCCTGCCCTCTCGCTCTCCTCATTGGCATGCTGGCTGTGATTTACAACAACTGCTGCTGTCTCAGCCAATGAGGAGAGAGAGTCCCTGGAGAGCCAAGGCTCTCGTGCACATTGCTGGATCGCACTGGGGCTCAGGTAAGTATTTGGGGGGGCTGCTGCACACAGGTTTTTTATCTACATTCGTAGAATGAATGGTAAAAAACCTTGAGCCTTTAGAACCACTTTAAGGTAAAAACCTCAAGGCTTTAGAAGCACTTTAAACCTTTACTACAATTAAACCAGTCTAGTACATAGAATACTGCTATTAACATTTTTATGACCAAATACACAGCAAAATCATCAAATACGGTCCACCACAGCCCTATTTTATTAAAGACACACAAAACAACATTCGGGTTGTTTCATTTACAATTTGAAGGATACATGTGAACGTTCCCAGGGCTGACACAACGTACCATTTTTTCAAAATCCAGACAACGTTTATAAAAGAAAAACAGAGGGCACCCGAGTGTAGTGGAAACAGAAAAGTAATAAAATGTAATAAAACCGCAGAGTAGCAACTCACAAATGATCAGTACTAAAGCGCTTGTCAGGCCACTGCACTGCCCATCGCAAGAGGACTCTGTGGAAAGCATGTTAATCTAATCCCAAGCTTCCCAATTGTGGATGTCCCCATATGACCTGGCCAGCATTGGTGCTCAAGATCCTGGGACTGGATTTACATGCTTTCCAGAGAGTCCTCTTGCCGATGGGCAGTGCAGTGGTGTGACAAGTGCTTTACTATTGATCATTTGTGAGTTGCCACTTTATTTTATTAAAGTTTGTATTTTTACTACACTTAGACTGGCACCCTCTGTTATTTTTTGTCATGGAGATTTCATCAGTCTCTGAGGAGCAGCAGTGAGTGTTTTTTACTAAAGGATTAGTTCACCTTTGGAACATGTTACATGTTCCATCTGTATTTAGGATGGAACATGTAACATAATCCAGCTCCTGCACCCCTCCCTCCTTCAGATCCACCCATCCTGTGACAGTGGATGGAGGATCTTCTCTTCCACCTGCTGTAAGAAATACACAGTATTGCCATGCAGGCCTCTTCCCACACAGATGAATTATTCATTTCTGTGAATTCTGTGAGTTCTGTGAATGAACTACAGCTACTGTTGGCCGCAGAGGCAGTGAGCACTTGTAGTTCATTGATTCTTAATGCCATTCAATAATTGTCTGTGCGTACAAGGTACAGGCAGACAACTTTCTGAGTGTCTGCAGGATCCAGACGTTGCATCTGCGGTCAGCAGATCGTAGGTGCAATGCCTTACAAGCTGCAGTGTAAAAAAATTAGAAATGCACTTTTTTTTTTACCTGCAAAAAGATGTGCATTGATATTTGTAAAAGGTGAACTTCTCCTTTAATATACTAAGTACAATACATTTCGAGTTAAAATAAATAAACTTTAAAAACTCAAGTGTTCCTCATCGAAATGCAAACATAAAATGAAATAATTTCAGTTTGGAGAGGGGAAAAAAATTAAAGTAAAGGAGGATGTGTTCCCAATTTTTAACTACCAAGAAAATTCAACATTTGTCATACAAAAGGTCTTGCATCAAAAACAACCTTCAAGTAAACTTGTCACAAACCTTAGTAATTTAAATCGATACAATCGATCGAGATACAAGCAGCTAAATGTATATGCAAATCTTCACATTTTCTGTAAAAGTCTAGCTTGGCTTTAATGGCCAGTGACAATGCCTGTACATAGAACCATATATATTTTGTATTTAGATTTTAGATTTTGAAGGCCTATTTGGTCAATTAAAAATATTTCAGGATTAGGTTAATTAAAAGCCAAAAAATGCTCAAAACTCCATAACCAGATACTTAAATATATGTAAACTGTCCCTGTCCCCCAAATGTGCTCCCGCATTGTCACCTATGTTTGGGAAGAAGACCACATGTGGCCATTTCAACACACATTACACAGGCATGCTCCACTTTTATCAAGAAACCTGCTTTGGGATGTGCCATGCAGCCATCACTGCTTTGCCTCTGCTACCTCCAAGCCCCACTGGAATATTGTATTCTGATAACTGCACCTCGCCACTGTCAGAATATACGGAGCAGTGGCTGCAGCTGCTAAGTGAGAAAAGTTTTGCAGCTTGTTCCTTCGTCAGAAGTCCAAGAGTTGTCTTCTGCTGAGCAGGGATAGCCACACACTTTGGTCATCTTTTGGCCAAACGTTGGTCAACTCCTGCTGAACTTGCCAAATTTCAAAGAGTTTATGGCCAAACAAAAGCGATGAAACTGCAAACTTACAGCAATCTGGGAATGCCCAAACCTATAGTTCATTATCCTAACTTATCCACCCTCCTACTGTATTAATGACTAATTGTGCATATAGCCAGCTTGATACTCATGGCAGGGTTAGTGTTCCGGATTTAACATTTAGGTCTGCATCCTCAGTTCCAGCATATTGGCACCTTAAAAATCCCAATTGTTTGAACTTCATTTCTTTTTTTGTGACTGTTCTGTTGTAATGTATTGTACAGTGTTGCAGTGTAGCCTCCAAAGCTTTGTACTATGAAAAAATATATATTTTTTGGCAATCCCCTCCACTGTTACATATATAAAAGACATAATGTAACAATTTCCTTGGTTCTGCATGCAAGATGATGAAAACAAAAACCTACAACTGGGTGGTACAACCTAAAGCAAAACCAGAAACCACAAGCTTCAATTTCACCTAGTCTCCTTTGCTGTTCACTGAGTGCGTTCTGAACTTCTAATATCAACTAAACACCATTTCAGTACCAATTATATTATACAAAACAAACTGCAGCTCTTAAAGCGTTTTGAGGGGTGGACCAATTCTGAATCAGAGCCAGAACTAACAACCGTATTACAAATTCTCTTAGTCAAACTGATGTACCACATTACTCGAAAAATAAATTATATTTCAGCCTATCAATGCATAACTTGTTCATTTCCACTTGACCTTGAATCCGGCATCATTAGATTTTAATGTAACTTATTCAACCGTAGGTCATTCACTGCATAAATATACACTTGTCTTAAGTACAAGCATGATTATCACTGTCATCTGAAACAGTCATATTATCTACCAAGAACTGTCTACCAGCTTGCCCTTTCACCTAAGGCTTTTTTACAAACTTAAATATCCAATTAATGTAGTAGGAAAGTATGCAGGAAGTTCTACAGCTGTGGTGCAGATCTGAAATAAAAGTAAAAATCCACTATTGGAAATCTTTTTCTTACCATAAATACAATGCAAAGCTCTTCCAAAAGAAACAGAGAGGATAGTGTTTATTATACTTAAGAAAGACATTAAAGTAATATTATGCAAAACGTGACCCTTTCAGAAATACCAATTTTCACAGTCTTGAGCAAAGAAGATTTGTGTCCTAGATCAAATACCGTATTTTTCGCTCCATAAGACGCACCTGACCATAAGACGCGCCTAGGTTTTAGAGGAGAAAAACAAGGAAAAAAATATTCTGAACCAATGGACTGCAGACACAGTACAGGAAATGACCAGAGACTGCGGACACAGTACAGGAGATGACCAGAGACTGCGGACACAGTACAGGAGATGGACCAGAGACTGCGGACACAGTACAGGAGATGACCAGAGACTGCGGACACAGTACAGGAGATGACCAGAGGCTGCGGACACAGTACAGGAGATGACCAGAGGCTGCGGACACAGTACAGGAGATGACCAGAGGCTGCGGACACAGTACAGGAGATGACCAGAGGCTGCGGACACAGTACAGGAGATGACCAGAGGCTGCGGACACAGTACAGGAGATGACCAGAGGCTGCGGACACAGTACAGGAGATGACCAGAGGCTGCAGACACAGTACAGGAGATGACCAGAGGCTGCGGACACAGTACAGGAGATGACCAGAGGCTGCGGACACAGTACAGGAGATGACCAGAGGCTGCGGACACAGTACAGGAGATGACCAGAGGCTGCGGACACAGTACAGGAGATGACCAGAGGCTGCGGACACAGTACAGGAGATGACCAGAGGCTGCGGACACAGTACAGGAGATGACCAGAGGCTGCGGACACAGTACAGGAGATGACCAGAGGCTGCGGACACAGTACAGGAGATGACCAGAGGCTGCGGACACAGTACAGGAGATGACCAGAGGCTGCGGACACAGTACAGGAGATGACCAGAGGCTGCGGACACAGTACAGGAGATGACTGAGGCTGCGGACACAGTACAGGAGATGACCAGAGCTGCGGACACAGTTCTGCGGACACAGTACAGGAGATGACCAGAGGTTGACACTGCGGACAGTACAGATACCAGACGGCTGCAGGGCCTGCGGACCAGTGTTCCTGCGCACAGTAAAGGAGATGACCAGACTGCGGACACAGTACAGGAGATGACCAGAGACTGCGGACACAGCACAGGGGATGACCAAAGACTGCTGATGTACTTCAGGAGATGACCAGACACTGCGGACATAGTACAGGAGATGACCAGAGAATGTGGACATAGTACAGGAGATGACCAGAGAATGTGGACATAGTACAGGAGATGACCAGAGACTGCGGACACAGTACATTGAATGACCAGAGACTACAGACAGTACAGAGATGACCAAGAGACTGCAGACAATACAGGGGATGACCAGAGACTGCAGACAGTATGGCAAAACAGGACCGGTCGCTCCATATTCGCTCCATAAGACGCACTGACATTTTCCTCCCTTTTTTTTGGGGAAAAAAAGTGCATCTTATGGAGCGAAAAATACTGTAAATGGCAAATTTATGAAAAGTAGAACATTGTGTTAATAGTAAAGGATAACTGTAAGAACCCATTACTCCGCAGGGATACGTGGGAACTATGTAATTATAAGCCTTTACCTCAACTGTGTTATCCTAGTTGTTAAACAGTAATCAACGCCTTTATGTACCGTATTTTTCGCCCCATAAGACCCTTTTTTCCCCCAAAAAAAGGGGGGGAAATGTCTCTGGTCTTATGGAGCGAATATAAAGCCCGGTCCGGTATTTCTGCCTACATGTCAGAATACTGGGCCCGCCGCTCAGCTGTTCTCCCCTGCAGGGCCTTACCTGTTCCTCGCTCCAGAGCTGCACAGTCTTCCCGCGCTTGCTTCTGTGACAGCCGGGTGCCCACTGCACTGTCTGCGCTTTGTGAATGATCCGGTGTCTTCTGGGACACAACAGGTCCCAGAAAGCGCCGGCCATTCACAAAGCACAGCGCTTCTCGCACATGCGCAGTGGGCACCCGGCTGCAGCCGTCTCCGGACATTCCCTGCACTGTCTGCAGTCCACCTCCCTCCGGTCTCCGGTCATCTGCACAGGTCATCCCCCCTGCACTGTCTGCAGTCTCCGGTCATCCCCTGCACTGTCCTGCAGTCTCCGGTCATCCCTGCACTGTCTGCAGTCTCCGGTCATCCCCTGCACTGTCTGCAGTCTCCGGTCATTCCCTGCACACTGTCTGCAGTCTCCGGTCATTCCCTGCACTGTCTGCAGTCTCCGGTCATTCCCTGCACTGTCTGCAGTCTCCGGTCATCGACTGCACTGTCTGCACTCCGGTGTCGACTGCACTGTCTGCAGTCTCCGGTCATCGACTGCACTGTCTGCACTCCGGTCATCGACTGCACTGTCTGCAGTCTCTGGTCATTCCCTGCACTGTGTCCGCAGTCTCCGGTCATTCCCTGCACTGTGTCCGCAGTCTCTGGTCATTCCCTGCACTGTGTCCGCAGTCTCTGGTCATTCCCTGCACTGTGTCCGCAGTCTCTGGTCATTCCCAGCACTGTGTCCGCAGTCTCTGGTCATTCCCAGCACTGTGTCCGCAGTCTCTGGTCATTCCCTGCACTGTGTCCGCAGTCTCTGGTCATCTCCTGCACTGTGTCCGCAGTCTCTGGTCATCTCCTGCACTGTGTCCGCAGTCTCTGGTTATCTCCTGCACTGTGTCCGCAGTCTCTGGTCATCTCCTGCACTGTGTCCGCAGTCTCTGGTCATCTCCTGCACTGTGTCCGCAGTCTCTGGTCATCTCCTGCACTGTGTCCGCAGTCTCTGGTCATCTCCTGCACTGTGTCCGCAGTCTCTGGTCATCTCCTGCACTGTGTCCGCAGTCTCTGGTCATCTCCTGCACTGTGTCCGCAGTCTCTGGTCATCTCCTGTACTGTGTCCGCAGTCTCTGGTCATCTCCTGTACTGTGTCCGCAGTCTCTGGTCATCTCCTGTACTGTGTCCGCAGTCTCTGGTCATCTCCTGTATTGTGTCCGCAGTCTCTGGTCATCTCCTGTATTGTGTCCGCAGTCTCTGGTCATCCCCTGTACTGTGTCTGCAGTCCATTGGTTCAGAATATTTTTTTTCTTGTTTTTTGCCTCTAAAACCTAGGTGCGTCTTATGGTCAGGTGCGTCTTATGGAGCGAAAAATACGGTAATTTGCACTGTAAAAACGCAGACAGTACAGAGAAGAATGGTAGCTGAGTGGTTAGTACTTTTGCCTTTAAGCTTTAGATTGCTTGGACAAACTTGGATAAGGGTCTGGTATGGATTTTAAAAAAATGTAAAAGTCCATACCAGACCCAAAGGGCTTGGTATGGATGGATGGGGGGGGACCCCACACCATTTTTAAAAATGTTTTAACTGCCAGGCAATGCCGGCAATTCTTTTTAAATTCAGCTGTCAGCGGGGAACCCCGCTGACAGCTGAAACATTAAAGAATGCTTTCACTACTAAAATACCACATGACTTAATAATATAAAACTCATGCGGTATTTTAGTAGCTGTGCGGCATCTTAGCACATACTCAGATGAATGAATGGCGAATTGAAGTTCGCGGCTGAACTTTCGGTGGATTCAAAAGTTTAACTTTGAACCAAACAGGGGGTGTTCGATCCAATACTACTAATCACTGAAAAAATGGATCACCAACTATTAAAAGCAAGCAGCCAATACATAAACTAAGTCTTAGTAAACACAATGAGAATATCGGACGATTTATTTATTTTTTTGCATGCTATGAATGAATAGGTTACTAATATTACAAATATTCGGAAGTGATGTATTGTATTATATTGTATTGTAATGTATACTTTCGTTTCCGAGCATCTGTGGTCTTGGTCACTTAAGTTTTTTTTGCCTGATATTCTTCATTGTGTGCACTAGATAGAAAGTAGAGGGAACATTTTCCCAACTCAGGACTGAAAACAAGAAAGGCATGGGGATCCTGCTTAATGCTCATTTTGCTTTCCTTAGACTAAGCTTAGCCCATGTAGGTCTGCTTACTGCCTAAAGTTCATGATTTGCTACATACACATAGTTGTTTGGTATCTCTGGGGATCTCTTGTACTGTATTAAAAGTACAGTTCTCCATTAAAGCAAACCTGTGTTTTGCACTTGCTTGTTACAGCAATAGATTTGCTTTAATGTTCTCACTCCCCTGTAGCCCTACTTTCCTCTTTCCTTCACTCCCCTGATGCCTTGAAGTCCTCTACCCCACATATACACAGTACACCTATTTCATAAAGTGTCAAGAATACATTTTATATTCTTTTTGACATTGGCTATGATCTGTAAAAGCACTGCGGAGTTTTCCAGATCCAAAACAGACATATGTCAGGTGTCTATCGGATTTGATTATTTTATTCGACTGGTAGTCCAGCTCCAGTGGATTGTTGAACCCTTTCAATTTTATTCCCTAAAAAGGTTTCTAAACCTAAAGACACAGGAAAATGGTCCTTCAGGATTACCAGGGTGCTGTAGGATTCAAGTGGATGCCTTTTAGGCATTGGAAATGCTGTGCTCTCATCATGATCACTATGCTTGAATGGCCAACACTGAAAGAAGCATAGCTGAAAAAGCACAAGCTTTCAGTGGAGCAATGGTTTTGCATCATACCACAACATATAAAAATGAAAGCCTCTGGCCACATCCAACTCACATAAACCGCTCACCCCACATGAGGAAGAACACCAATAGAAAACAGATACACAAACTGAAGACCTGGGCCCATGAGGCATACCATTTCCTGCCATGTACAAATATCATGTACAACACCTTGTGATTGTTTTTGAGAAGGGTAAGGAATGAGCAGACAAACAGACCTTAACATTCTTCGCCATGTTCCAGGTTTTTGGAAGCAAGGGGATCCTAAAAACAGTTTATACTTCTAAAATGTCTTTTCTAAAATTACTTGGGGACATTTTAAGTTTAGATGCCAATGAGTGCTTTAAAATGCAAGCTATCTCCATTTTCAAATGAAGCCAACCTGAAGGTTTTCTTGTATATATAAAAAAAACAAAAAACAAAAACAGGAAAGGATAACTGTTACACCCCCCACCCCCTTGGGATTTTACATATTAACGTCAAGTTCAAGAGTTCAGCATTCTTCAAATTACCCACTTATGAGTCATTACATAAATAGTCCAAGCAAACACAAACCACACATTTTATCATACACAGGGTTTATCTGTTAGTTGGAAGCTCAAGCATTCAATATGGCTGCCTTAAAAACAGGCCAAAAATGCAACTTATTGTGCTTAGTCATCAACATATTTATTCCTTTTTTCAATATTGTTTTTTCTATTTTTTTATTTTTAGGATGCTGCCCAACACAAAGTAGAATGTTTCTATGCTGATCAGCACTGGACATCTGGAAGTAGTCAGCCTCTGTTTTTAAGCAATTCACCTTTTCTAACAGATGCCCAAATGAATCCTGTGTATGCTTATCCAAAGCATATTTTTTCTTTGGCTTCAACACAATTTATGTCTAAAAATAGGTAACCATGCAGCATAATAACCACTTCCTGGGCAGTTAAAAAATATCCTAGATTCTAGTTATTCACTTGCAAGGCCTGGCATTACCTGCACTCCTGACCCCCAATTACCTTTTATGAACTTTTATGATGAATATTTCCACCAGGCACAGCAATAAAACTCAATTTTAGATTTTTGGAACTTAGCCCTTAAAATGGCTAATGTTGATCAGAAGAATTAAACAGGTGTCCTCCACAATATGGAATTCAGCTTTAAACCCACGAAGTCTAGTAAACAGTCATTAACGCGGACCTTTCTTTACAACTTTGCTTCTTCTCACCTCCTATACCACTTTTGCAAAATGTTTTTTTTTCTTTTGACAAATAAACTTCTACTGCTTTTACCTTCCTTGCCTAAGCATGAAAGATATAGCTACAGTTCCCCACAGCCACATGGGACAGCTCCATTATGGTATACAAGGAAGCTGTGAGCACTAAACCCCACACTGCTCGCATGCACTTGGAATTATCCAGGAAACTATGCATATACCACAGCATGTCATCAGGGGGCTAGCAGGAAAAAGGCAGCCAGCCCCTGAGGACTTGGGAGAGAAGATGGCACTGCAGGACCTGAGGGAAAGACAGAATACAGCAGACAAAGCTGGAATCGCAGGGCAGGTATGTTTTTTAAAAAAAAAAACAACCAAGTGAACAAGGTAAGATTGGATTTAAAAAAAAAAAAAAAAAAAAAACACGGGGGGGGGGGGGGGGGCTTGGGGGGTGTTTATGACTGACTTTTTTTTACTTTCTTTAGTGTTTTTAGGCTTGGACATTTTTGTTTCAGCCAACAAAAAGCTAATTACCAAAAGACGATTGTTAGGCACATATTGTACCACGTGTTATTTTGTGTGTTCCTGTTGAAGTCTATTGAGACCAAAAATGCACAGTTAGGCCCCAAGGTACAGGGAATAGACAGCGTTTTTTTTTTTTTTTTTTGCATGCAATCGTGAGAATTGAAAGGGGGGTGTTAGGTTTAGTGCCAATTATGAGAGTTTAAAAGGGGGTGTTAGGTGCAGTGCCAAGGGTAGGTGGGTAGAGGGTTTTGTGCCTGCAGAGCCGAAGGGGAGGTGATTTTGTTTACACAACTGTTGTAAAGTACTCAAATTATCTTTAAAAAAAAAAAAAAATCAACCAAAGTTGTGTTTTCTAGTTTCCTTAGAAATTTCAGGAACA